TCCACAACTATCCAACCATGAGAAAGTGGAGCATCCAATAGAGACAAAGTGATCCAGCAGCCATCATCACTTAGGCACTTAACTTTAGTTGTACGTGAAAGCATAGGGAACTCATCACAATGCCATATTGAAGCTTGACCATCATCAAAATATCTAGCCGGAAGAGCTTGTTGGGTACTGCTAATTGCATTACATTGCATCTGTGTGGCTTTATGATCATCATTGTCCCGAACGAGAGAGCATTTTGTTTCTTGGTGAACTCCACTTGGATCAAAAGCTTGCTGCCAGGCGTCCGGGTCAATGAGATAAAAGCAAACTGCCACTATGCCCTCAAAGCTTTCTGCTTTATCATATAAAACCAGGTGATTACTCGACCGATGCAACTTTAAAGCTTTACCAGTGTCGAATGCATACCCAGGAATGGCAAAGGTGCTTCCCCTGCCAACGCGCCAATAAAACTAACTCCTTGTGTCTGAGAAAAACTAATGGATCGGCATCCTTGTGGCGAATTGAGTATCTGCAATGCCGCATGAGGCTAACACTTGAGAGAATGCCCCTTATGAACATGAATCCAATGATATGAGGCAGAAACGGTTGGGTGATGCTTAAATCTAGTTGAAAATGCAAAAGGAAAGTCACACATTAGAGCACCAACAGTTGCTAGTCCATTCACGATTCTCCCATGATCATGCTGGATAATTATCGTGTTCAAATTATCTTCAAATGTTGGAAAGATATGACCCATAACAACATTGTTCAATTTGTCAATCCGTGAATCCATAGCACGGCGCTTCGAGCTTGGTCGCAGTTAAATAGAGTGCAGGACTTTGTTTAGGATATCCAACAGGATGTCAGAGAAAGGTGGATTCAGGAGTCGTGGAGGCCAAGGTTGAATGTTGCTAGAATCTTCCTCCATATTATTTCTCTCTCTCCCATAGCTAAACTTACCAGGACCAAAAAGAGGGAATATATTCTTATGCATCAACTGGATTCCAGCCAAAATGAAGATGTCATTGTAAAAATTTGGTTGATTAACCACAGTACACCAGTACTTCTCCTCATGTGGAAATTCCTTCCGAAAGCTCTTAGTCAGAATAAATGTAAATCCCAAACTTGACAATGTGTTAGTGAATAGATTCTGTGATACGACACCCATGGGGTCATTCAAGCTTGAGCAAATTGCAGTGATAGTACTAAAGATGTCCATGCCGAAAAAAACACATACAGCTTGTACGGTGTGCACAAATTCAAGGACCTTAGATTGTCTCTTATTCTTATGAATCTTGTTCAAGCTTTGAGGCAAGAACATTATAAGTAGTGCATTCCCCACCAATTGTCTCGTTATAGTCATCAAAGTATTCATCTACACAATCATGTACAACCGTCCCGCCATAAGCTCCATCGAACTCTTGGATCTGTAGCAAGGAAGCAACATGTGGATGCTCCTGGCTCACAGAAAAGTGGTATACATTGAAAAGCTCTTTCAGTTGCATCATAGGCAAATCAAACTCCAAGCTACCATCAGGCTCCAAATGAAATAGTGTAGAGTAGGGAACAAGAATTCTATTGTTATCCTTTGTAAGCAGTTCTTGAGCTTTAAACAGACAAGGATGGGCACAATAAACAGACACAACAATCCATATAACAAAATGAAGTGAAGTCGCGTAGTTCAAGCATGTAGAGGAAATGCAGTCACTATGATTGCTTGCTACTATGAAGACGACTAACGCGGGAAATCTGGCATAATCAACATAAGGACCAGGATCAAAGATAATATACGGCGAAGCAAACTCTGCTTTATGAACTAGACCAAATAGAGCAAACAAGACTCTAGTAGCTTTATCGATCCGAATATGTGGTGACTGCTTGGAGTAACTTTCAGCTAATACCTGGAGCTGGAGCCCACTTAGTATTTTCTGCTTCCGAGCACACTCTCTGGATTTAGACAACAAGAATCCTGGAAGATTGCGTTCCTGCCTAGTATCAACCCAATTGCATCTGTGTGAGCCAAAACCAAGGTAAAGTGACACCTGATTGTGATTAACCCCACCAATATCTTCAAGAGAATTAAGCAAACATGGAATTGTGCCAAACCATAGTGTACCGTCAAATGGAAATTCTATTACAGCAAATCTCACACTCGCATTCGACAGCACAATTCCTTGGCTAGTAAAAACCAGAAGATCTAATGTATCCCACTGCCGAAATTTGTCAAACACTTGAGCTACAGTGGTATCTTCTAAACTTTCTTCCTCCCTAGTATTAGATTCGGTCGTATCATCAAACACCTCACTATGTACCTTGGTTTGGAAGCTGGCATTTGCGCATAAGCTATCGTCGTACACCTTGGATATTGTAGTAATAGAGTTGTCTCCCTCATGGACAATAACATTAAGATCATGAATGTTGGAGCTCACTGCGGCGTGTGAAATTTCATCGAACACCTGATCATCAATAATGGCAGAAGGTTCCTGTACCAATTCCACTACCTCTACTGATTTTGCATTCCCAATTTGAGGTGCTTCTATATCTTCAGGATTTTCAGTTTCAATATTATTCCCAGTAATCAATGTCCAGGAATCTACAGTTTCATACTACACTGCAATTGATCGAACATATGGTCCGTCTTCGAGTTTCCATTTTCATAGGCCGATTCAAATGCTGATGACTTCGAAAGAAGGCTTGGAGCAAGAAAGAGAGACACCATAGCTGATTGTGACACTATAATAGCTGATTGTGACACTATAATAGCTGATTGTGACACTATAGGGACAGTATTAATGTAGTTAAAACTAACCTGTAAGGAATCAATGAGAAGCCTCATCGGATATGTTTCATTTCTGTCGAAAATGCTGAGCAAATTTCTCTTTAAAATGCGCCCAATCGAAAAATTGGTTGTTCCGAAACAATCAACTGAACCAAGTAAGAGCTTCACCATCAAGGTAGAAGGAAGGAAGAGGTAACCAATCATTCTCGGAGACGCCAAGGTAGGTGAGGTACCGCTCAGCTTGGAAAATCCAGCTCTCTAGGTTGCCAATGCCGTTAAATCGATCAAGTACCACCGCTCATTTAATGACGTGGCAATTTTTTACTGGGACACGTGGCATTGTCAGCCAAAAACCAAACATGAGTCTTATTTCTGCCCATGTATCTGATCCGACCCTATGGTATAGAGAGTAATAATAAGCTGGGTTTAATGTAACTTTTTTGACCCGGATAATAAACCAAAGAAACATCAAATTTCACTGCATTATTACTCTCAGCTTTCCTAAAATTCTAACCCATTTTATCATCAATCTCAGCAAGCAACGGAATCACATTCAGAAACCCATGAACCACAAGTCATTTTTTATAATACAAATCTGGATACGCAATTTCAATCCCATTAACAACCCTCATATCATTAACCTATATAATCTTTAAACTAAGCCCATTACGTAATTTTCAAATTAGTCCGATTCTCATTCAACTCATATAATCACTCCAGTAAAACACAAGCGACACCACGCCTCTCAAAATGATTGTTGGTGATACACTAAGGACTCGACTTGAAATTTGGGTTTCGATTTGTATTTTGGTGGATGAAATTTTGGCTGAAGAAATCTTCAATCTCAGAAGCGACGACATACTCATCATCGAAAATGGAAGACATGGCGATTTTGATGTTGTTTGCTGTAAATTGGAAGATCAGTATCTAAGCTCGTGATGTAAAGGGAGATGGAGGGGAAGAGTAGGGATCTTGGAGGAAATGGAGGGATTGAAGGGAAGAGAGAATAGCAATTGCAGCGGCGACAATGCTGGTGGGGCGGTGATTTGTGAAGTGAGAAATAACAGAAGTGAACTAAAAATATAATGAAGGATGAGTAATTTTCGTTTCAAGATTGGGAGAAGGGGGTTACTCGGGTAACTAACCATAGGGTCGGATCGGGTATTGGGTAGAAATAAGACCCATATTTGATTTTTGGCTGACAATGCCACGTGGTCCAGTAAAAACTTGTCACATCATTAAATGAAAGGTCCACCAATTCTGCCGTTACACATGGGGGTATTTTTGCTATAATAGAATTAACGTCGTGTGTTTTTTCGGACGGATAGATGGACGGAGGGTACTTGTAAATCATTTAGCAAATAATAGGGGTAGTTTAGGCCCAAATGAAAATACTACTCTAGGGGGTCGTTTGGTATGAGGTACAAGAAGGTATAAGTGTGGTATAAAAATTTAATACCACCTTAATATTCTGTTTGGTTAGCAAATCAGGTATAAGTTATCTCGTTGTTAATTATAACACTGGGATAACTTATACCTCATAGAAGGTGGGGTAATTAGCACCGGTATAACTTATACATTCTTCTTAGAAATTATGCAATTATCATTCTCAATACAACATACCAAACAATGAATAAACAACAATCTTAGCATAACTTATACCGGTATAAATCGTATTCCAACCAAACGATCCCTAGGAGTAATAAACTAGAGTAGAAAGTTAGAGCCCGTTTGGCTTAGCTAATTTAGAGTAGCTGATAAGCATTAGGTGTTGAAAAATACTTATAAGTGCTGAAGCTGATTTAAAAAATAAGCAGTTACGTGTTTGGATAAAATTACTGAAATTAATAATAAGCAACTGAAGAACTAGGTATACGAAGAGTTTTGTTTAAAAAGAATTATTTTAGGGATAGAATAGTAAATATTTTGGTCAAACCTAAAGTGTTTATAAGCTGAAATTTGATAAGTTTGGGGAGACCAACTTATGGTTTTTTATTTATTTTTAGCTTATAAGCACTTTTAATTTTACCAAATGATTAAATAAGCCAAAAAGTATTTATAAGCCATTTTGATCAGCTTATAAGCTTAGTCAAACATCCTCTTAATTAAAAAAGGGAATGGATAAAAGAAAACGTGGATTAACAAAAAGTAGTAAATCGAAAATCGAAATACAAAACTTTCCAGGAAAAATAAAAAGTAATAAAAGGAAAAAGTACTGTGATAAAAGCAAGGTGGAGTAAAATATCAGAGTCAGCTTCGGACATACGGCTTCCAACACATCTGACCAATAGTTCCCCACTTTCCAGGTGACATACATCCCTCGCTTGACTCGCTTCCACGGTCAGTGCTCCGATCAATCTGCACCGGACCTAGGGTTCTGTCTTCGCCGGAAAATCAATCACTGGCCGGAGAATTCATCAACTCCGGATCTTTCCAATCGAACTTGTGGATCGCACAAGTATAAGCAAATTTGAGATGATTCATTTGTAGCAGCAAAAGTAAACTGATTGAACTTGCTGTTGAGGACAAAAGTACATACAGAGATAATTAGAAATGAGTGTGAGCCACGCGTCAGTGCATCCTGTCGACGCGCCGCCGCTGCAAACGGAGGCAGCGAACGTGCCAAGAGTGAGGATGAAGGATGTACAGGGCATGCCTGGCACGATCGGTGGATTCTTCTTACGGTTCGCGCAGTTCGTGTTTGCTGTTGTCGCTCTTTGCGTCATGGCTACCACCGGTGATTTTCCTTCCGTCACTGCTTTCTGGTAATATTTTAAAATTTCAGTTTCAATCATATTTTGATGATCGTGTATTAATTAGATGCTTAATTAAGGCGGATTGCGAGTGCTAGTAGTATTATTGAGTTCGTATTGAAGTGCTGTGTTTTATCGATGAGTTTGGGGGTTTCGAGCTTAACTTACTCGATGTTTCTGTTCAAATTATCAATAAAATGAATTAGAATGTGCTGATTTCAGATGATCATAAAGTATGTGATATGTATTTGCATAACATTGGCATGAGATGAGTTTAAATGGAGTAATGCTTGTTAGTGAGGATTGACCTCAACTTGTTTGTGACTGAGGCGTAGTTGTTGTTGATGTTGTTGTATAAAGTATGCAATATGTGGTGTATTATATAGAACAATTGTGCCTGGGTGAATAAGAAGTCATAAAAGTATGCAGGTTCAGTAGTACCATTTTTTTCCCTTCTCATTTTGCTTGGTGATGGGGTAGTGGAATTCTGGTGGAGCATGTGTTATTCTCCACTGTAGATGCAAACATTTCCAGCCTACAAAGCCTATAGTTGTTATAGGAAGTATCGATCTATTGGTTTAGTAAGTCAATGTGGTATTTGTGGAGACCAAGAGGTCTTAGCCTCTCAGGTTCAAATCCCCGTTATAATGGTGATACCCAACTTATTTATTAATATTAATATTTCCTCACTAGTGTATGCCAGAGGATATTAGTTTGTAATAGATGGTGCTGTGAAAATATGATAAATATCCTCCTAAAAGGGAAAGATAATTCGCCGGTGGAGTATGGTTGTCCTTATCTGTAAAATTTGAAGATCAAATAAAGATTTTGTATGTTTTAAGGGACCTTGTTTCATAAAATTGATTTCTGTCACATTATCTCATCGGATGGCTGTTCGAATCTGCTAGATGTTGTCTAAACAATCATGTGATATTTTCATCTACTTGAAGTCAACCGATTGGAGCTGCAAATGCTGACAATAATTCATCACCTCTTAAAAATTCTATAAACTTGAACGAAGGAAATCTAACAACTCTTTTCTTTTGGGTGGTATTTCATATTTGGCTTCTATCTTCATAAGTTTCTATCTTTTGGCCCTTTAAGCAAGTAAATGGTTACTTCGATGTCGTTTTGCTTTATAGTGAGTTATTCGTCTTATCTGGTTTTCCAGTTACCTTGTTGCTGCTGCTGGCTTGCAGAGCTTATGGAGCTTGTCTCTAGGAGTTCTTGACATTTATGCTCTTCTTGTTGGACGGTGCTTGCAAAGTTCTCAGATTGTGAGTTTATTTGCTGTTGGTGATGGGGTAAGTTGCCAAACAACCACTTGAACATGTTAATGTAACTGAGCTTATTAATAAATGGAAGGGATTTATTAGACTAGTATGCTTGTACCATAAAGAAGATGTACGTGAACTTGACAAACACTCTGATTCTACACGAGACACAAAAGAGAATCTAGCGGAGAGAATTGATAGCTTTTGAATAGAGACTGATACAATCAGACGTGCAAGGACTTGATACAAAAGATAGCTATTGCAATTGATCAAATAGATGAGTGTCGTGACTTTCTTTCGTTTGATAAGTATAATATGGAATTAAAAAACTTTCCAGCTTGCGATTGGCATGGAAAGATATGACTTTTGCTTATGTGTTTCTGGTTTAGTTCCACCTTGCAATTGCACTGAAAATTTTAATACATATATACTTGGATCGATATGATTTTTCTTTATGTCTTATCCAGTTTTAATTGAGATAGCTTGTATATTATGCATGCACTAACTTCCTGTTTATGCAAAATGACCTTTGTTTAACTACTCTTCAGTTGTTTAGAATGTTTGATTATTTTTATTTACCCATTTTTCTTTTTAACAAAGAAATTGGCTAGGTTTCCAGAGATATTATGCCCTAATTGCCTACCTAGTAGTCTTTGAAATATGAAGCTTGGATATAAGTTATCCAGGGCCAATTTTTGGTTTTCAACTCTTATGTATGTGGAAGAAGTGCCGGAAAATTGACTAGCTCAAGAGTGGGGCAGCTTGTGCTGGATTAAACACAATTCAATATTGTCAATATTCACATCTACTCATGGAGTAATTCTGTGCAATGACCATACCCATTTTCTCTTGTCCATAATGACCATGTATTTAACAGAATTTCCGCTGGCCTTTCATTCTTCTGTTGCTATTTAAGGTCCAAGGTCACAATTTCACGAGTTTTCTAGTGAATTGAATGACTTTAGATCCTATATATTATACCAATTTAATGCATTTAATCTTAAAACTTTGTAAACTATTTGCAAATATGATCAATCCAGATAATAAAAAACTATGTCAATAGTTTGTGAAGTGATCTGCATGCTTCTTCCATCCCATTGAATGGATCTTGCAATATGTACTAGAGTTTTTGTAAATATCCTTATTTATTACGTTTGGTTAATACAAAACAATCACTTGGAAATATGCATCTCTACTAATTTTATTAAAATGTGTTTATTAATAATATCTTAATGGAGCAAACAAATAGGATGAGGGAATTAAATTGCATTTACAGGATCTAAATGGGGGAAACAATTAGGAGTCTCCCTCACCCCTCTTTCTTCGGATTATTCCACTTGCTTGGTCTCACGAGTAGTTACCAGTGATGGATAGGGCATCCTCTATGGCATAAAGTTTGAAAATTAATTATTTCTATTTTATAAGGTAAAATAAGAAAAAGTAATGCCTATTTCTTTGTTGTTTCTTTAGTTATTCAGTTTTTGACCCATCCAGAGGGTCTCGTATAGGTACCAAAATTTAAGGGAAGGTTGTGTAATATATAATGCCATGAGAGAGATGATTAATTTCTTAGAGACCTCATGGTATGCTTACTAAATTCTAGTAATGGCATTCTAAACATTTTTTTTATAAGGATTCTAAAAGTATTATATTGGATTCAAAAAATTAAGGGGCTTCATTGGTTTTTGTGCCGTTGAATACAACCTCTACCAGCTTGCTTCAACGTCTTGCACAAATACATATCAAATTATTTTCTTTAGACTAATTGGTAAGATTAAGTTGGTACATATCCCCTCTAGGCACCGCGATGATGCAACTATGAGAAACTCATAAAACGCGGGTGACAACTCAAGAAGTAGGGCATAGCCTTTGATAACTTGGCTAGCTGTTAAGGGTGTTTCATGAACTTGGAATTCCTATAAACTTATGACTTTTAGTACTCCGTCCGTTCCATATTATGAGGTGGTTTTATTGGAAAGTGAATTTTAGAAATGTATACACACATAAGTAAAACAAACACAAGTTGCGAAAATGGCCTTTCTATCATGATATACTTCATCATGAATGCTGATGGCTCGCTCTTGGTAGAAATGAGCATTAAAATTTTCTTTTTTAGTGAAAAGGATAGTGTTGGGAGGTAGTTTTCATAAATAGAAATGTTTCAATCTTTTGGGGGTGCACTAAAAAGGATAGTGGAAGAAGGGAGTAAGATGGTGTATCCATAGAGTTTATACAGAAAAAAAAAATAGAGAAGTTGAGTTGCCTAATTTTTTTATTGTATACTCAGCAATGAAATATTAAAATTAGGTACCCTTTACGTTTAAGATGGTCACATTCTCTTGGTTGCCTTATAAGCAACATGCCTTTTTTACATTTAAGAGCCGGATAAGCAGTATTTTACTGCACCAGTAAAGTTGGTCGTATACTTGTGGTATATGAATTTTGCAATAGGCAATAGCCATTTATTTAAGGAGCTCAGAAAGATATGAAAGATGCGCAGTTAAACATAATCAATGATTTGGGCTACTCATAGTAATTGTTTAAAAGTGAATTGAAATGGTATTAGAGAATTAGTAAATATGACTTTTCCCCTAAAATTTCCTCTTTGCAAGTAAACTTTGGCAACATTCCCTTTTTTCGTTTTCGCTCCAAGTTTAATATGCCTATTGATATAAACTTTGGCAGCATGCCCTCTTTCGTTCTCTCCAAGTTTAATATGCCTATTGATATATGTCATGGCTCATTTGGGACTTTAAATTGGTTAATATTAATATAGTCTTGCTATGTTTCTTTTCGGAATAAAATTGACTGCAAAATTAATTATGAATAGAGTGATAAACTCTTGCATGAAAGAGTTATGATATGAATGGCTGGGGATCCAGATCATTCGTCCCTAATGATGGAAGAGAGTGACACAGTTTATGTAAGACTTAGTCACAGTTGGACAACTTCCGTGCAATAACTGAAACAGATTTTGAGCCCTCTTAGCCCAGTTACCCGTCTGGTGGGAACTTCTTCCTCAGTCTGTTCATTTTGTAGGAGATTTTGCTACTTTTTGATGTATTCTTGGGCATTTCTGATCCATCGCTGATCCCTCAAGGTCTGTGAGGTCAGACATAAAATTGGTTTTTTTAACCTGGTTCCTCAACCCTTCTAATATGATGTAGAAATTACCTTGTAGGTAGAAAAGCTCTATTATCTTTTAAATATCTCATAGTCTGGAGTTAATAGTTTATTGTTTCTTGATAACCAGATTTGTAATTTATTATAACAGCAAATCCCCCGTACCTATCTCCATTTTGCACTTCTTGAATTGGTCTCTTCCTTTTACTCCATTATTATAAACTTTTCGGGCTATGCGTGCACCACATTCCGCTTTGAGCATTTAACACAAGTTGTATATAAGCTCATCCTGAAGCATCTGAGTAGCTACATGACTCCTTTCCATTCATCTCCTTATAAATACTATCTTTCTTGCAGGTCACTTCTACCCTCACGTTTGCTGCAGCCTGTGCTTCTGCTGGCATTACTGTACTGATTGGCAATGACCTTGGTGTCTGCTCTCAGAATCACTGCACAGAGTTTGAGACTGCTACTGCCATGGCCTTTCTTAGCTGGTTCTGTGCTATGCCATCATTTCTCTTAAACTTTTGGTCACTTGCATCTCGGTGAAGAGGAAGAATGGTTCTCAGGAAATACTCAAACAATATCCAAACATTTTTGTAAAGAACTGATTTTTGTTCTGATATTGCAGATGTTTGTCTGGATGATCCATGTCCAAAAAACATACAATTGCCGCTGCAGTGTGTAAATACAAATTGTGTAAAGCAGGTCAATGCGCAAACTTGAGTTGTGCTATGCTTGTTGGCTGTTGCTATATGTGCAGGATTGTGCAAAAGTATAGTGGGCACCCTTGAATCTTTGACATTACATAGCATATAATGGATGATAAGACAGGTCTTATTCATTGGAGGCAATCTCCCTAGCACATCTTGAGCTTGTTATTCAAGTCCAAAAGCACACATTAAACCTAAAATTTATTTTAAAATAACAATCGAGACCATCATTATTTTGTACTTATCTTTGTTGTATATATTATAATAATTTATCTTCCATTCACGACTAACCTTTATCTACTCTTTGTTTAATAATGTAGGATTTCCGTTCAAGTTAAGTTGTCGAAATAAGTTTTCTCAGTTGTTATAAGAAAAAAATATCACATAAGCTTAGCAACATTGCAGCATCTTGAATATCACTGCAAATACTAAAGCTAAATATAAAATGAATCAGTGGTAGAATATGCGGAAACAAACATCTGCACTCAAAAAAGCTGCACTAGAAAATTTACATAAGAGTATGAAGAATTCAGGAAGCAAAATACAAATTTAGTCTAATTAAATTAAAGGTAAAACAGACGGGAGCCCCCCAAGTTACAAAATTTTCATCCGTCCCAAAGATCATTCCGTTCAACTGTGTTCCTGGCTGTCAGTGTCCTCTGTGAGGAAGATGTCAAAAAACAAAAAGGAAAAAAAAGAAAGGAGATTTGACAGCAACATTAAACAAATGACCAGTTAATAAATGAGAAGGCTAAGCAGTGGACAGTTTCTTCAGAAGCAAAGACTTTCCATGCAATAGCTTGTTCATATGAAATATGTCGTCCCATTGCTGACATGCAAATACCACCCGGCAAGTACGCAAAACCCTATGATCAAGAATCAACATCGCGGAAAAAAGTAACAGTTAAGACCTCAACTTTTGTTTTCTAGGTTCTGCAAAAGACCAGAGTCAGCTGTAAATACCTGTTCCATGATCTTGGGAAATTCAGCGAACAACACTTTCCGGCCAGATTCATCAAATATCTTATCTAGAGTAATGTCCTGTAAAGCAACTAAGGTTGTCTCCAGCATATCAAGCCCAGCCTTATTAGCAAAAATGAAAACCGGCAGGGACTGCAACAGCAGAGAAAGAAATTTAACTTACTAAACACATTCTTTTAACAAGATAAAAGGAACGTGAACGAATAGGTCAGTCCTTCCAATTTCTTAGCAACTCATTTCCATGTTGACATGTCAAAAGCATGCTAGGGACCAAAATGAGGACAATCAAAATGCCAATCACAAGTAGTTCAAATATACACCCATGATATGGCATTTTCACCATAAAATATCACCATCACAAGTATAATTTAAGTCGGACTTATTTCTAATATCCTTGTCCAGCTCTTTCGTATTCTAATATTAATTAGGGTCATGAGATTAACTTTTGAACAAATCTGCCTTCATCGTGGATTTACTAGGTTAATACATTTTTTCTTTACGTATATGTTCATGTTTCACCGCAACACAACATACAATATTTTTTTACTAACCGTAACATGCTGTTTACATGATAAGAGAATTCATACCTTCAATGAGCAGCACAAAATAGCATCCTGATGTTGCCAAAGATTTTTTAGCACTGATTCATCGCCCCTCGAATCAGTTTGAAGCAACTCTGTCCCCATGTGATAACTGGATATTAAATGCAAAAGAAGAAAACGGTATGTTAACAATCAGAAAAGTACTTCTAAGACCGTCTGCTTTTTCTCAATATGTTGAGAAAGGAAAAATTCTCATAAAATAATTGAAGATCTCAACATGCACACTTGACACTACTTTGGCTCTTGGTGGTAAATGAGATTTGCAACGAGTGACTTGTAAGCACGACAGTATGAACATGTAAAGCAATAAACCCCATATTGAGCTGAAACGAAGAGAACAAGGTTTCACCATAGTTGAGAAATCATTTTACCTGTAGCTCTGGCAGATCCAGTGCGACAACGTTACAGCTTCAGGGGAGCCTGGAGAAAGCTTGGACCCGAATGTTGAATTCACTCCTGCGGGAGATATTGCCATGGCAACCCGTTGGACAGATGAAACCACACTGCGAACATACTGGCGCGCCATGGTAGCTACATTGTCCTGAAGATTGTCCTCGAATGGAAATTGAAAAGCAATTGTCAACACAGATCGTGCACTGTAGCCAGAGACCACATCTCCAGTAGCAGGGTTTGTTGCTGGGCCAACTTCAAGACTTGATGCCAGATCCAGTGTTCTATGAGCATTCGATGTATCCTGGGGATCGCTCTGAAAATAGAATCACCGGTTATGCTCCAAAATCAAGCAAAATGAAAAATAATCCATGTAAACAATAGATTGGCCAAATTCAATGCTTAAAGTTGAAAATGAAATATTTTTACTCAACTGATTTTGACTCGAGAGGAATGATACGAAACCCGGAGGGCAACAGGGGTGCATCATCTGGAAACATCTCATCAATTGCAGCAAAAACTAGTTCAGAACAAGCTCCGACAGCATTCTCATCAGTTCCACTACACATCTAGAAATAACCGTTTGTTAGCTATTGCTTCAACAATGTCTGTACGTAGATAACACACCGAAACATCAATGCATAGGCAAAAGGTACCTGGAGAAGGTGAACATCTCTTGGCATAAAAGTATCTTCCTGGCCAATAGAGTGTCCTTCCAATCTAATAACCTCAAGCATCTGCAAAGCAAAACAAAATAAAAAAAAAATGAGAGGAAGTCTAAAGTATAATATTAGCAATATTAGGTAACAAGCCTAGCAATTCAAAGAGTGCTAACTTTCTGATTATAAAAAATACTGGTGCTGTATAAGCACACTCCAACACATGGGATGGATGGAACTGGGGCAAGTGCAAAGTGCTTACCTCTTCATGTTCAATTGTATGGCCAAGTGGCATTATTATCTGACTTCCGGTAAATCTGGTAGGCCTCATCCCAGGATATGCATATGAACAAGATTTCATTGACGAAGCTACATAGGCATCAACATTAAAGTCCGCCCACTCTGAACGGTGCTCCCTGAGAAATCGAACCAGTACCACAGGAGGAACATTCTGCCACCATACAGAAGAGTTAAAAGTCAATTCTCATTCTTCCATTTAATAGCAACAAGATGCCCCACATGGTGCATTAAACAAATAGCTTTATAGAACACTGAGTAATATTCTCTTATATTCCAGGAATCCCGATTCATTCCAAGAGTTTAGAAATTGAAAGCATCATCAAAATCTGCAACAGTCTGGAACAATTTTATCTAACAAGGCAAAGGTAGTTGGCCAATGAAAATTTCTAGTCAGTTAAAAGGTAATCTATTCACCTGGAGTAGCATTGATGCTTTGGCACAAAGGATGCCTCCCAGCGGTGAAAGAGGAACGGAAGTGGTGGCAATGTTCTTCCTTGAATTGACAGCAACTATAACATCTTCACCACCATCAGAACTTAACAATGACCAGCCATCATCACTGAATCCATTGATGGCATCATTGAAGCCTCTGCAATATAGAAAATAGCTTAATTATGATACTTGTGCTTCAGAATTCGTATGTCTACTTTTATGGCATATCATATCTCATAGCACAGAACAATCAGAGCAATAAACAGCACCTGCTTAATCTCTGGCTAAATGTTCGAAGAACTGCAGGTTGCCTTCCCAGACCATATACAACCTCCCCACTAGTCTCCTGAGCTATTTGCCTTGCATATCGCAGTGCCTTTACAGCAAAAACATACTATAATTAGTATTTCTTTTGTTGTGATGGTAAGCTACGGTAATTGCTCAAGTACTTGAAACATAAAAAATGCTGCAAGTATTCTCAGAGCAACATATGGAATTAAAGCAACAACTAATGCAGTTAAGAGTATGGTGCGCTTCACAGCCTACAGTTCTTCAATACTATATGTTTCACATGCAGACTTTTATGGCAACCCCATGAGGAAAACAATAATGAACCTTAGAAAACTCGAAAAAACAAAGAAATCCTCAATAACGTGCATTAAGAGACTAAGGATTTGTCAGGTGTTCTATATTTTTAAAGCTGGGAACTTCTAACTGAATAAACAAAAATATCAGGCTATATCTAACTGCTCGTCCAGAAATTACAACCCTTTCGACTTCAGAGCTCAACAAAAATTGAGATCTAGTTGTGAAGACTAAAAAGGTTGTTACACATCCAGTATTTAATGACAATCAACGGTTCAACTCACCGCAATAGTCATTTTCTGTGCCACAACTTTTGACGATTCATAAAGTGGACGCAAAATCTCAGGGGCACTCCATGCCTGAAGAAAAACATTATGCCGTGAAGTCCAGCTGCAAGACAGAACAAGTTAAAAAGAAAGGGAAGTGGTAGTACAGTGTGCAATCTGACCTCAAGATTCAGATGGTCAACAATATGTATAATGGATCCTCCACCGTCACACGGTCGGATTAGATATCCGGACGGAAGCATTTGAGCTCTTACAAACTGGGAAGCAGAAGCAGCATTCGGCCCAGCTCCAGTACCAGAGAGGGATCTTTCACAAACCTTGAGGGGAGGAGGAATTGATGGCACATACAACAAACTATCAGCAAAATATTCATAACTAAGTACAAAAGTGGCCAGATTGCTTATCCTAAGACACGCTAATGCGGAGGATGTGCATACCACAAAACTACCATTCTCCAGGGTGGTTGTGTATCTCAGAGTCCAAAAATCACGTGCAGGAGCCAAGGTGGTAGGAGCATATATCTGAAAAGAAATGATTTCAAAAATCCCCTCAATGCTGTAGCTTCTCCAATCAGAAGCCTACGTGAAGATTGATGAGAAGGTAATTAATTACCTGCGTGTACAAAAGCTCAATTGTTCCATTTCCTGCAGAAAACATCGTGAAAACTTCAACGTTCCGGCAGTCTCGGAACCAAGATGGTCGATCTTTGAGGATCTCAGCAATCTGTAAATATTTGACAAAAATATATTTACTAAGAAGAAACTGGCAACATCTAGTACACCCGTCAAAGGACCAAAACTAGTAATAGAGCAACAGCACTACATTTAAATTAATTTTCCACATGACTGCTTACCTTTGTCGGCTCTAAACTAACAAGACCACATGCTCGGGCTGCCACTCCACTACAACTGTGTGAGATGGCAAAAATCCCAACTGAATCCGGACCAGGCTGGCAATAGAATGAAAATTTAGTTTTTTAGCTATCCAGTCAAAGAGACATGGCAATACTGAATTTTCAAAAAATAAAGAGGATTGACTAAAGTTCAAACCTTCATCCCAGGCATCGGGACCCAATCAACAGCAGTTCCTGTAGCCTTGGAAAGGAACTCTGCTAAGGTTTCCTCTGCAATCGACAGCAGTCTGCATAGAGAACAAACTTGACTTAGAGATAAACAAATTAGCCCCTCAAAATGTTGTATATGCCATTGAATAAATAACATAAATATGTTGGAGAATGGACACCATAGACGGAAAGGATGGGAGAAATAGGTGTTTGAAATTAATTACCCAGCAGGGTTGTTAGCAATGTATATGCCATTGAATAAATAACATAAATATGTTGGAGAATGGACACCATAGACGGAAAGGATGGGAGAAATAGGTGTTTGAAATTAATTACCCAGCAGGGTTGTTAGCATCTCTGAGGGAATGCTGAGGGGTGGTAACCACTGACTCACAACTTACATCAGTAGTGGCCGCTGATGCCTGCAGAAAACACAAATACAGTCTAATTAATCCTATGGAACAAAAGATCACCGGAGATATCCATCATCTGTTTCTTGTTTATTGGTTCAACTTCACAGCAAAACAAGGGCGAGTAGAAGAATATAGAATGCAAAAACACGATGAACATAAAATTTAGTCCCATATCTAAAGCCATGCATTCCATAACTATAAGAATGTCCTAAAACAGTGTCATCAGAATAAAGTTTATTTACACTGTTTAAAATATGTTACCATAAGCTGTGGAATATCAGAAATCTTAAAATTCATAGTGCTTAGCCATTTCATCAGAAACAAAAGACAAGATATACGTTACCATTCGTCTACAGTAAGCAAAAAATAAAGCTTTTTACCACAAGTATAAAGGAAAAATTATGTTAACTTACAGTATGCAATTGTTGCCGCATAAAGCCATTTTCACACACAAGCTGTGAAACCTGTTTTTGCAAGCGATCATTCTCCTCCATTAATAGTTTATTCATTGCAGACAGCTTTCTATTTACAGTCTGTAGTCTAGAAGACTCTTTCCTTTGCTTCTCTCGACACCTGAAATGGCACAATGTTCACCCTCAATTCCAAAATCTAAGCTCAACTACCCGACAGACAGAAATCAAACTACACATCCAATTCACGATTCACTTAATGCCCCCCCCCCCCCC